TAATATCTCCCTTATGCAAATGATGTCAGGAATGTCAACGCCCCCACTCCTGATACCAGTACAGATTTGCCAAAGAACACAAGACTTTGAGAAAGGGGTGGAGGCATTTTCTTTCCTGGTGTAATATGTCATTGATCGTGGTGTTCTCACCATGATTTAAACAAGCTATTATGGATGTCAAGCTTGAAACTAACTGTAAGGGAGGAGGTGGAGGGGTGGGGGAGGTGTTAAGTAAAGTGTATATCAGGATGCTTTCTGTTCTTATCTAAAATAAGCAAAAGAAGTTACCTTCATGATATTGTACACCTTCTCATACAAATATTGACTTCACTGATTATGCAGCTGTGCATGTGTTCTGCCTATTCTTACAGTATATATGTGGTTGCACATTAGAGTGCACGCACTAAAACCGTTAACATTAAATAGTACTAATTAGTACTATTTCATACAGAATCCTTTGTTTTCTATTGTTTAATTATCACTATTTAGTGCTAAAAATTAGTATTTGTTTCACGGATTTAGTATGAGCACTCTAAATAGAAATTTACTATTTATTACCTTTGAAATCTTGTGTATCTGAGCTTGCTGTTCATAATCCCTTGGGGCCTCAGGAGTACTGTAATAGGATGAACCATTAGATACAGTGGGACTCTTTCCTGGAGCCACATATGGACTGTCCTGCCTGGGTGTCTCAGACACCCCAAATATATGGGACTTAGTGCTTCCTGCCTTCTCGGCCCCTAAATGTCTGCGCTGGAACCCACTAGGTGGGCGCTCATGTCTTGAGCTAGCATTTCCAGTAACTGATAGGTCTGGTTGTAGTACACTTCTCATCGTTGATCTTGGAGATGATTTCTTGAGTTATATTTAAGCGTCCATCGTTTTTGCCCTACAAATTATAATGAATTACTACTCTTGGTGAAGGAGAATTAAAATGTTTCTAGCAGATATGTATTGAAAATCGAGTGCTTTGGTGGATCTGTCGGTGATTGAAGCTATCAGTCAGTAAGATATCGGTTCTGTTGGTTCGCTCTGTTAATATTTCTTCCTTGCTTCATAGAAACAATGTAGTTTGTCATCCACAAACTACTATTGAGTTTTTCCTGAGAAGGTACAGTCAAATTCACGAGCAATTATCTAATATCATTTGAGCTGTTATAAATGAAATAAGGACCTAGATCTGTTGAAGCTTTACCAGTAAAACTTCCAAGCAAAAGTAAAAGGTTTCGTTGAATTTACCAAACGATTGAACCAAATTTACCGCCAACGCGAATACACTTCGTCTACTTAGCAACCAGAAGCATACGAGTTAAACCAGGTATTCTTGTGTTTGTCGCTCCTTGTTATCTTCTAGACGTATTTTACAGTGTGTAATCCCATGGTCGTTTATTTGGGTGTCTTTTAGAGTGTATTTTGGGAGTCTTTTTCCAACAAATCTGTTAAATTCTTGTCCTCTTTTCTCATCAAAACAAAAAAGATGCTGGTCTAGTCTATTGTTACCCAAGCCCTTTGCAGCTGTGAAGACCACAGAAGGCCCAAGATTGAGTCGGGTACGTCACGATGTCGGCATGTACCTGCGTGATATATAGCGTGATATAGTCTGGAAGGGGGGAGGGAGGAGACAAAAAAGAAGAATCTCGAGCTCCAGCGAAATTTTATATGGTTTCGCTTTCAGCCCAATTTACCATCGTTTAACTTTCGTTTTGTTTGGATTCATTTTGTTTGTTTGTTTGTTTTTTAAGCAACTGACCCTCAAACATAATTATGCCTAATCAGTAAAAGCATTTCTTTCAATTTCAGTAAATGAATAATGTTGCGAAACAGCCACATATGTTCAGACTATTATAGAGGTCAAGTAACTCATTACGTGATTTTTCAATAAAATGGACAGCAGTTCACGTAGTTCAAGTACACGAAGCTCACGTGATTGGCAAAAACAAAGCAAGTCTCTTGAATAAAGTCCCAAAAGCAACGGGAAAACCCTTTATACAAAGCCTTCTTAAAACTTTGAATTAGTATTTCTCGGCAAGATGGACGAAGATAATCATTCAGATAAGGCTTCAGATGAAAATGAAGGCGAAATTGCAAAAGTCTTTTACAAGGTAAATAACGATAGCGAAGAGTTGATCTCTGGAAGCCGTCTACACAATGTCGACGAACCAGCAATTATTGAACTAGGTGGCCAGCCTCAACTCGGTGGTCTAACGATCTTCACGGCAGCAGTATTTGTGGTCGGGGAGATGGCGGGCAGTGGGGTCTTGGCACTTCCTTCAGCAATGGTTGCTGCTGGACCTATGGGGTTTGTCATGCTTCTAATAGGTTGTCTGGCTTCCGGATACTGCGGTGTCATCTTGGGGAGATCTTGGACGATTCTGCGAGCAAAGTATCCTGAGTATCAACACAGTGTTCGAGATCCCTATCCGACTATTGGACTCAAAGCTGTTGGAAAATGGGGAGCCAGAGCTGTATCAGTATGTGTGAACATCACTCTTATTGGTAGGTGGATGTTACTTATTCCAGGGTCGGTGTTTGCAAGGATTTTAATTTTTAAAGGAAGTCACTCTATACGATGTAGAAACCAGGAAAACTTTAGCAACAAACATATGTGCTCAGCTTCACAGGGAAATGAAAACATACCGTCATATTTGCTGTCATTCACGTCACTGTCTCAAACAACATTAATATAATTAACGAAATGCTAGTATTGCACAAGCTCCTGTCTCACTGTCTGCTTTAACGAAAATATAAAAATTGCAAAATAATGGCATATCATATACGCAGTGTCTAAATGCCCGGCAGCCGGTCGCGGTCTAAAATTGACTAAATGCCCGGCAGTCCAAACTTTCACCAAAAAATACGAGAACTGGCTACAGCTAAGGGTATCAAACTAGTCTAACTTTATTATGGTATATTAAGCGCTTCCTGTAGTCTGGACTGATTCGAAAAAAGATTGTCTGTATTCGCTCGGCATAGAATACGGAGCACTTGGTTCATGTCACTTAGAATATTTTCGCCAACACTGCCGGTCGCAATTCTCGGAAAAAATACGATAAATTACCTACGTTAATGAAGCCAAACTAGTCTAGATTTATCGAGGAATATTAAGCGCTTCTTGTACTCTACACTGCTTCTAATAAGGATTGTTTGTCTTTGCTCGGCATAGAATACCGAGCACTTGGTTCATGTCACTTAGAATATTTTCACCAACACTGCCGGTCGCGGTCTCAAATACACTAAATGCCCGGCAGTCCAAACTTTCGCGAAAAATACGATAATTTACCGTTAATGAAGCCAAACAAGTCTAAATTTATCGAGGAATATTAAGCGTCTCTTGTACTCTACACAGCTTCTAATAAGGATTGTTTCGTATTACTTCGCAAAAAAATAAACGACGATGGGTCAAGTAGGACAGGGTAGGTAAAAAGCTAGTTGTGGTAAGAAGAGCGAAAAGGTGCTAAAGGCACATGCAATAACACAATGCAATTTTATTTAACCATTAAGTCCTATATTGCTACATAGTATCATTTTAATAATTAATCATTTTATCGGAAAGTTTGGACTGCCGGGCATTTAGTGTATTTGAGACCGCGACCGGCAGTGTTGGTGAAAATATTCTAAGTGACATGAACCAAGTGCTCGGTATTCTATGCCGAGCAAAGACAAACAATCCTTATTAGAAGCAGTGTAGAGTACAAGAAGCGCTTAATATTCCTCGATAAATCTAGACTAGTTTGGCTTCATTAACGTAGGTAATTTATCGTATTTTTTCCGAGAATTGCGACCGGCAGTGTTGGCGAAAATATTCTAAGTGACATGAACCAAGTGCTCCGTATTCTATGCCGAGCGAATACAGACAATCTTTTTTCGAATCAGTCCAGACTACAGGAAGCGCTTAATATACCATAATAAAGTTAGACTAGTTTGATACCCTTAGCTGTAGCCAGTTCTCGTATTTTTTGGTGAAAGTTTGGACTGCCGGGCATTTAGTCAATTTTAGACCGCGACCGGCTGCCGGGCATTTAGACACTGCGTATCATATAACGTACTCACGACAAAATCTGAACGACTCAATAAATAATATAAGCTAACTGGCTTACCATAAATATCTTACTATCATGCATAGTATTTTAAAACATATATTATAATAATTTCAGTCACTAAAATAATCGTAACTTTGAACTTACAGTAATTTTAGGGACATGCAAATTTTTACATTGCGCAAACAAATGACAGCTATCTAGTGTACAGTCACATATCCGCTCTGAGTTTGCCTAATGGTCGTGGGTCGTGGGTACGAAGTCGTGGGTTCCAATTTTTTGTTTCCAAATTTATCATTTCTTCACTATACTTCCAAATCGAGATGTGTGGATTTGTTCCTATAAATTCGGTGCAATTGTGGGTTGTGCAAGGTAGTCTGTGTCTATTTGGCCTTTAAATATGGGCAGAAACTAAAGCACGACTTTTAGGGTGCTTTTCAATGCCTTGGTATTACAAAGGACTATTTGACTTTAAATAGAGAATGCGCAGGATTGAAATCA